ATCGAAAACAAGATATCGCCGTTATCAATACTCTATAAAAAATAAAAAATAAAACTACATTTAATATTCCAAGGAACGAACGAACCGATTCACCAGAATGAATCAGATTACTGACTCACTAGAATTAATCGAACTTACCAGCACTAGTACAAGAGAGACTCTGTGGTTGTATGTTTCCCCTCATTTGGCAGTATGTGACATTGATTGTTACGCTACACCCCTAATCGTTGGTGGGGTGGGGGGGGGATAATTTACTGGAAAAGCTACACTGGTTTGAAGCAGCTGAGCTCCTTATATGTTAGTGGGACACCATCATAATGATCTCTTCATAAACTCATTATCCACAGATCATAAGACTACACTATACAAACTACTGTAAATAAGACATGCATTTCATTTCCAGATCATTAGTAGGCCTATATTCTAGCAGTTTTGACTGACCATTGTGTGGCCCCTAATTAATGCTCTTCTGAACAAAGAGGTCTAAAATTAATTGAGAGAGCAATTATATCAATGGCAGTTGCTTGGCTGGTGCATGCAGTGCTTGAAGCATGTGACCTGATATCTCCCATCTTTCCTTCAAGGGTGCTCAATTCTGTATACAATTTGTCTAGAGCAAATCACCTGAGCCGTTAATTCCAAGTGACTGATTACTCTATATTACAACTGCTTGCAGCAGACAGGGAAAAACACAACTTCTATTTCACGCTATTATAAGAGCCCCTAAAAAAATCGGTCACTGGTGAAATATCTTCTGTAATATAATGATTTTCGGATTTATATGCTTGCAAATATATATTTCCAAAATAATGTACAGGTGCATCTCAATAAATTAGAATGTCGTGGAAAAGTTCATTTAGTAATTCAACTCAATTTGTGAAACTCGTGTATTAAATCAATTCAATGCACACAGACTGAAGTAGTTTAAGTCTTTGGTTCTTTTAATTGTGATGATTTTGGCTCACATTTAACAACGTGACGTCTCGCTGCTCCATTGGACTGATTTCACACGTGCTTCAGAACGCGGTCACGCAGGGGCGTTCCCAAAGCGATCTCGACGCAGCTCAAGTTCCTGAAAGGGAACAGTGTGGCATTATAGAGATTTTCAGAAAAACAAGTCTTTATACCACAGACCCTCTTCACATACTATTTGCTTAGAAAGTGATCTATATAAATTAATTGATTCCAATAGAGTTTAATGTTAACATTTCAAATTAATTTGAAAATAAAATGGTTTAATAGATTTCCTTAGTGTAGCTATAGTACACAGATAGGTTAAATAATCAAATTTTAATTGTGTTGTATTTAATGTTAGTTTTATAAAAAAAAAAAACATTCATAAATGACATTTCTCTGATCATATTTGTTTTCCACTCAGCTTGCAGCAGTGTATCCAGCAGTATCTTCCTACATTTTGATGCCTTGAAATATTGCCTCCATAAGCTGCTCACTACGTTTTGGAGCAGAGCAATTGATTGCTTTTGCTAAGGTCTTCATACAGAAATTAAAAGCCTGGAAATTGCTTTCAATTTCTGATAGCTTGTTTCTTCAAAGCACAATAGTACATTATAACACCCTGTTGAAAACACACTCACTTGGGTGTTTCTGTTTATGAATTATATATTCTGGTTGTCTTTCCAGAGCACATTCATAAACCTCTAATACACACATTAATTGCATGAATTAAGCAGTGTTGTCGCAGGCAGTAGTGGTCTCTAAATTCCTCCTTTGCTTCTTGGAAGTGGTGGGGAGGGTGGCATCTGATTTATTGTTCAATAAAGCCAATACCTGTTTTGCTCAATTAGCTCTATTTATCTGAGTAATGGTATTTTACTGAGTCTGCCCTTCCCACTCCATCGAGGCAGCGAGGTATGCATATGGCATCAGAGTCTGACTACATTTCATTTAATTACCCCTGTGAATCAACAAGGAAGAAATATTGGAATGATGTGGCTATATAAAGCTATATATGCTCCCTGTTTTTTGAAGGCAGTATAATGAAATAATTTGCTAGCATTTTTGTCAAGTCATTTGTCAAATAAACACGAGTGTTTATTTGTATGCCATGCACCATATCAGAAACAGATTCATCATTATGAGTTATGGGCACTGGTCATATTAATGAAAGTATACATATACAACCAACATGATCTACGTTGTATTTGTCTTCCATAATCTGAGGACTTTTTAATCAGTTGCCTAGCAACATAATTAATAATAAGCATATTCAGGTAGCATGGTAAATTGTTTATGTATTTGACACATAATCACAAATAATCATAATCACACTGATTGGCCTTATGAGCGACTGTAATTTACCTGTTTATAAAGAAATGAGGTAGAACATCTGGTGTCCTGCACAAATGGAGTTTCGCACAATGGCGAACAAGTACTCAACTCAGATTTCACTGGTGTTCAAGTTGGACATGTGAATTTGCCACACTGACCAACAGAAAACTGCTTGGTTTGAAAGTAACTTCTGTGAGAACTGTGCTTCACGCACTATTAATGTAGTCCTCATATTGTTACAGTGTCCATTGTGTTGCTAAGTCAAATGTTTGGGCATTGTAATTGTAATTAATCTTTTTCTTAGAAGAACATTTACGATAATATACAAGTAATATTATATTATTTTAACTCAAATATCTGTATTTATTTAGTGTAAATTCTGTATAAGTGTAACTTACTCGGCCAGTAAACCTTTTGATTTACTATTCCAGCTAAACATGCCTCAACGCTACCATAAATAATACTGAACTTTAGCCATATTTATCATTAATTTGAAACTTGCTCTTTTATTTTAGGTATCACATTTTAAAGCAAAAGAAAATATGCATTGCTAAGCTCCAGCAAGTAATGAAGACAGAGACTGCAGAAAATCCAATCAATACACTGTCTCTGTGAGCTCTGTGCTGCAGCCTCATCTTCACTTGAGGTCTGTCTCTAGCTACATGCGAGAAATATAAATGAATTAAATACACAAATATTTCAGCATCTCTGGGTCAGGCTGCTATCTAGACTCCTAATTGTAAAAACGAGATGGCTGCTGATTGGATGCTGCAGAAGCTTCATCTAATGTTTCTCTATATAATGCAAAATTCATTATAGAAAATGTAGGCATTGCACTAGTATATGTTTCAGTTTCCAAAAGAAAAATAAATGCTAACAGGGGAGAGAGAAATTATAACTCTGGTTACGTGTGAAAGATAGCAGTAATGAAATTCAGCTCACATAGAAAATGTGAGAATTTGAGGAGTGTGAAATGCGAAGTTGTGAATTATAGAGATAATGTATAAAGAGATTGTGAGGATGCAGATCCCCTGTGTACTGTAAAGCCAATGCATAAGTCTCAAGCTAAGGAGTGGGTAACGAAAATAAAATGAGTTTTTACAAAGTTGACTCAGTGTTTGAAATAAGTTCTTAATAAAGATATGACAAAATTGCTTTTTTTTTTTAGAAATGTAAAAATGTCCAGATATTTCTGCAACAGCAAGGAACTGATTGGTTGATGGTGCTGCTGCAAGAATGTGCATGATCTCAGCAGGGGCAAACTGGGTCATGCTAACACTCAAGCACTAAAGGTATCATTGAGTTAACCTTCAGTTGTATCAGTAGTCAAATAAAAGCTATTCTGAGAGATTACTTTGCTTCTTCTTTACTTTGAATATATAGATCTATCTATCTATAGATCTATCTATCTATCGCTGTATGTACTTACCTGTCTGTCTGTCTGTCTGTCTATCTATCTATCTATCTATCTATCTATGTACTTACCTGTCTGTCTGTCTGTCTTTCTATCTATTGCTGTATGTACTTACCTGTCTGTCTATCTATCGCTGTATGTACTTACCTGTCTGTCTGTCTGTCTGTCTATCTATCTATCTATCTATCTATCTATGTACTTACCTGTCTGTCTGTCTGTCTTTCTATCTATTGCTGTATGTACTTACCTGTCTGTCTGTCTGTCTTTCTATCTATTGCTGTATGTACTTACCTGTCTGTCTGTCTGTCTTTCTATCTATTGCTGTATGTACTTACCTGTCTGTCTGTCTGTCTTTCTATCTATTGCTGTATGTACTTACCTGTCTGTCTATCTATCGCTGTATGTACTTACCTGTCTGTCTGTCTGTCTGTCTGTCTGTCTATCTATCTATCTATATACTTACCTGTCTGTCTTTCTATCTATCGCTGTATGTACTTACCTGTCTGTCTTTCCATCTATCGCTGTATGTACTCACCTGTCTGTCTGTCTATCTATCTACTTGTCTGTCTGTCTGTCTGTCTATCTATCTATCTATCTATCTCCTACCTTATAACTGAAGTTGCAAATATTTTCATTTTATTGTGCTGCTCCACAGAGGCAGATCTTTGGGCTTTCTAATACAATTTCAGTTTTTTATTTAGTGGATTTCATCTATTGTATCCTCAGGCTGCTCACTCAGTAAAAAATGTTGCATTATTGATATCTCTGTGTTGCTGCGAGATGCCGTATCTGTATATGCTGAACACATCATAAGAGTGGCTGACCCCTCTGTTCTTCTTCTCGTTGTCTCATTTCCAACTGCTCCAACACTTTCACTGAGGTTATTTCCCTGACAGAGCACATCCATGTTCTTACAGCCAAATACATAGATTTCCTCTGGGATGAAAGCTTATTGAGAACAATGTCTGATTTGCTTGGTAAAACCATATTCCAGGAATATAGCAGAATCTATGGTGCGTAGCTCTGAAAGAGATGTACTATTTTATAGATCTTTACTTACGATATATCTTTTCATAGACTCTGCCTGCAGTATCCAATACTTTTTGCTGTGTTAACTCCAGTGTTTTTTAAAGTCCTTGTCACCCTCAGTCAGCATTTACCTTAATGTATCCAGCAGTGGGCCTGGAATATGAAAGCTATGTAAGATGTTTTCCGCACGTTCATAAAAGCACCACAATAGGATGCATGCGTTCAGGCATTAATCAGCACACAAGGTTCAAAATGCAAAAGGCTGTGATGCTGCATTCAGCAAACCCAGAGTGAAGAAAAATGATACAATTTAATGTCAAATCTGCACACAAACCTCATTCAACATGCAAACAGAATTTACAGAAACATTGTACAGAATCTGGGTTTGACTCTATGTGGAGCCATTCCAAAAACAAATAAAAATGCATTTTCTGGAGGACTTGTGTTGTTTCTGAATTGTCCATTTATGGATACAACTATTTCATAGGATTTAATGCCAATGTGGAATTTTGGAATTCCAACCCTGTTTCACGGAATCCATGAGAATGTGATTCATTACATCATACTTTCCAGAACATCAAGGTCATTCTAAGGCAAAAGAGGCGTTTTTTTTTTTTTTGAAATATGAACATTGAGTGTGTGCCTATTTGATTATATACTGATTTATGGCTAATGGGTTAAGAGCAGAAGACTCACTGTAGGGTTTATATGGTACTGAATATGGCTATGCAGCTTGTTAGTATAGCACGAACCATTAATAATAATCAGTTCAATGCAAAAATGTTCAACAAAGCATGTGATTAATTGTGTCAACCCTTATGTTGCCTTAAGCTTTTTGGATTTCGACAGAAATTACGATTATTTAACCAACAACTCCTTTGTACACATAATATTCCCACATTTAATGAATGAACAGTATACAGTATCTGAAATATAAAATGTCAATAATATTTGCTTCCAACGAAAAATAAAATACAAAGTTCATACCCTGACATAAAACTTGCTTGGCTACATGATGACACGAAGAAAGCAAAACGGTGTACAGCGTTTGCTTTTAGCAAACTTTCTGGTAGCTCCAAAGTCACCAATGGTTTTCAAAGATTTAATACAAAAACACCCCACAAAAGTATACACAACTGACATGATTGATCAGTTACAGTGCGCAAAACAAATGAAGCTTTGTAAAATGATGTGAGTATGACTGAGAGTTTGACAATAACACATTAATTGCAAAAATGTCCTTCAGGTGCCGTTATGTTGCACTTTTTTCCTTCTGTTTCCTTTTCACTGACCTTTTGTGAGAGCTTGTCCAACAAAATAAATTGTCCATGGTCCATTATGCTGTGCTCTGATTGTTTCCCTTGATTTCCATGGAGACCCTCTCCTTGCGTCCGGAGTATTCTCCGATAAAAGAGCCGTCCTCGTTGAAGTGAGCGTCCTCGTCGCCGTAGTCCACCATGCTGTCTCCGCTGTCCCCTCCTTTCAAGTCACCATTCAATGAATGCTGGCTGCTTTTCAGTGGTTTCTCATCATTATCACTGTGTAAGACATGGGAAACATAACTGAGTTTGGCTGTCTTTGTCTTTGTTATGTTTGATTGGTCTAGTGCTAAACCAGTACCTTCCTCTAGTAGATATAGAGGAGCTAGATAATGTATCATTATGTACTCACTCACATCATTTGTTCCGAACCCATTTAAAAAAAAAAAAAAATTTTTTTATAAATAATCATCATGCAACTATTTCCATACAATTAATAATGACCTGCCAATCTCCAAAATGAATCCAAAAAAGCATAATAAAATATACAATTAGCCCAAATGAGATAGACAGTCCATATGTGCATTCAGTTTCAATTATACACAATACTGTATAAAAGTTTGGGGTCAGTAAAAACAAAACAAAACAAAAAAAGTTAAGAAATTAATAGAAAGGTAAGAAATTAATACTTTTATTTAGCAGGGATGCATTTAATTGATCAAAAATCACACTAATGTTACAGAATGTTACAGAAATTTTTTTTCTAAATAAATGCTGTTTTTTCTACTCATCAAATGCTGAAAAAAATGAAGCAAAAATATAAAATAGATTAACATTAACATTGATATTAATAATACACGTTTCTTGAGCACCAAATCAGCGTATTAGAATGATTTCTGAATGATCATGTGCCACTGAAGACAAAATGACTGCTGAAAATTCAGCTTTTAAAATAGACTACATTTTATAAAAAAAAAAAAAAAAAAAAAAAATATATATATATATATATATATATTAAAATAATAAATAATTATATTTATTTATCAATAAAAATTATTTTAAATTGCGATAATAACTCACAATATTACTGATTTTGTTACATTATTTTTGATCAAGTAAATACAGCCTTGATGTGCACAAGAGACTTATTTCAAAAACATAAAAAAAAAAAATCTTACTGACCTCAAAGTTTTGAACGTTAAGTCTTCTAAAGTCATATGTAAACTTTGTGTGAGGAAAAAATTAGAAATTTAAGTTGTGCTTTACTTATAATATAATGAGGAGACTGTTTAGCCCTTGTTTGTGCCCACAATTCAATATCAAAATGTGTTTAACAAATAACAAATGTACTAACTAATGTCGTTTTAAAGTTGATTGTTATTCATTTTGACAAAGGGAATAATTTACAATGAATAATGACTTTGTCTGTTCCTTACACAAATCTACTTGTCTTCAGAAGGCCTGAAATAGAAATAATATAAAACAAAACATTAAAAGAACATCCAGGTTTATAACTACAGTATATGAGGGTGAGTAAATAATAACAGAATTGCCATTATTGTGTGAACAACTCCTTTAAAATAGCAACAGAGAAACACTCCAGCATAACAATTCATTCCTGTTTCAAACACACAGTGCATGTGCCTATGAAACCACCAGCCCCACACCCAATGGAAGGACTGATATCATAGAAATATTAAAACTTATGCGATTCTGAAGGAGGATGGGTGCATTTGAGCATGCATTATCTTCACTCAAACTGTGAAGCTCATGCATTCACACACTGTTTGACGTCTGCATAAAACAAGCCTTGTGTTTCAAATAGCGGAACGCAAGACACCGAGCCAGGCACATCTAGAGTTCAGCCTTCATCATGAACACGTCTCGGATAATCTGCCTAAAATATTTCAGATTAATAATTGTCACTACAAACACAGTTCTCAAAGAGATTGCTATTGGATCGCCGAATGAAAGAAATAATGATTAATAAAACAAGAAACGCATTTAATGCTGGCCTCAAGATAAGTGTCTTTCAACTAAACCTGATTGTTTACCATCATCTTACTGTGTAATCTTTTGTTCGCTCGATCTCAATACAACTTCATTTAAATTTTCACAGCAAAGCCATTGTTTCTAAAGTGCTACATGTGTACTAGCTACTCACTAAGCACCACATGAAACAGGAACACATCAGTGGCATTGATGTGTGAACAACACTGGTTTTGTTGTTATTGTTTAGCACATACGTGTGGTGGTTACTTTAGCTTGCTGCACGTCCAGAGCTCAGGCTGGTTTGGTGCTGGCTTTCAAACCAAAGAAAAAATGCACAAATTACAAGGAAACAGTGTCAGAGGCTACCGTCATTCTGCCACTATGTGTGCAGTAAATCCTGGTAGTGGTTTGAAATACCTGTATTCACAGAAGGTATCATCATTTATGCCCTGGGACTCCAAGTCGGGGTGCAGGTCCTCTTTCTCTTTCACTGAATGAACAAAAGAGAGCCTTCTAAATTTAGAGAGACTGTGTGTGTGTGTGTGTGTGTGTGTGTGTGTGTGTGTGTGTGTGTGTATACACTATCATTCAAAAGTTTGGGGTTGGTAAGTATTTTTGTTTTTAACAAAAGTCTTAAGGCTGCATTTATCAAAAATACAGTAAGAGCAGTAGTATTGTTTAATATTACGTTAAAATACATATTTTCTAATTTAATATATTTTTTTGCTATTTATTCCTGTGATGGCAAAGCTGAATTTTAATTTAGTCTATTAATTAGTCTAATCTTCAGTGCCATATGATCCTTCATAAATCATTCTAATATGCTGATTTGGTGCTCAAAAAAGTTTCTTATTATTATCAATATTGAAAACAGTTGTGCTGCCCAATATTTCTGTAATATTTATTTATTTATTTGGAAGACAGTAAAAGTATGTATTGTCACATTTGATAATTTGAAAGCATACTTTCTTAATAAAGGTATTAATATCTTTTTAAAAAAAAAATCTTACTGGCCCCAAACTTTTAAACAGTGTGTGTGTGTATAACGTGCATTTAATTAATCAAGAAATTAAGAAATTATCAGGAAATGCTGTAAATAGTCAACATTTCCTTTACACACATACATATATGTACCTAAAAGTAATTTAAGGTTAGCCTATAACTACATTTCATACCAGCTGTTCTGTAAACTTTTTTCATACATTAAGATTATTATTATTAAAATTGTACTGCATCAGCAAGCACATCTGCAAGTTAATTTTAACACATGTAAATGAACAGATCTGGCTCATGCTGTTTCTGTACAGTAATTAGAAAAATTTCACAGCTGTATAGGTTACAGCAATTTAGAAGAACAATGTTATTGGGTAGAACCTTGAGTCAAACCCAATTTGCAGTCCCCAACGAAGATGTGCAAAATGTTCTAAATGTGACCCTGGACCACAAAACCAGTCTTAAGTGTCAATTTTTCAAAAACAAGCTTTCCACTGATGTATGTGGTTTGTTAGGATTGGACAATATTTGGCTGAGATACAACTGTTTGAATATCTGGAATCTGAGGGCGCAAAAAAATCTAAATATTGAGAAAATCGCCTTTAAAGTTGTCCAAATGAAGGACATTAGCAATACATATTACTAATCAAAAATTAAGTTTCAATATATTTACGGTAGGAAATTTACAAAATATCTTCATGGAACATGATCTTTACTTAATATCCTAATGATTTTTGGCATAAAATACAAATTTATAATTTTGACCCATACAATGTATTTTTGGCTATTGCTACAAATATACCCCAGCGACTTAACACTGGTTTTGTGCTCCAGGGTCACAAATATAAACGCATTAACATGTTTCATGTGCTACTGTGATGATCGAGGTGTGAATGTGATATACAATGTTTTTCCGTCTTACTTTCAGTGTGTTTTTTACTTCTTGTTAAACCTTTTGGCTTTTTTATTCTTAAAAGAAAATCTCCAGACAGTTTAGACATTTGCAAGTGTTTTCTGACTGCTATTTAGCAGATTCAGTTCACATTCACAAAATAACTGCAATTTTCTGCAGCAACTGATTTGTTTCATTGTGTGAGAGAATACCTGAGTACTTTCCGCCTTTATTTCGGTTCACAAAGCATGCTATGAGCACTATGAGGGTGAGCAGAGCTATGGCACACATGAGCCCGATGAACCAGCCCTGGTTGGAGATGCCTCCATGAATACTGGCCAGACCTGTGAGAGACAAAGCATTCTCTTAGTTTGACATTTCCTGAGGACACTTCATTGAATGTTGACATCCACTGAGAACATCTTACACTAAATGAGAGACACCAGGCAAACTCTAGAATGGAAATGTGCAAATATTAATATTAAACTGCCAGCCTGCATGTCTAATTACTCAATGGCAGAGGCTGATAAAGCATAATTCCTTTTATCAAATCCACAGAACACATGCTCTGGGATGGACATGAGGCACACCACGCATGACAATTTGATCACAGGATTTTGCTCGGAACTCTTGATGAGATGGGAAAAGAAGAGAAAAAGACGATTTTGCTTTGCATTTCTGTCATCTCGGTAGACTACGTTCTTCTCACCTTTAGCACTGGTCCTGATAACGTCTTCAAAAATACTAGAATTATCAACCCAGCTTTTAGTCATAAGACGCACTGTGTATTCAGTCCCAGGTTCGAGCCCTTCAATGATGTGGAAAGTCTTAGAAGAATTTAGCGCATCAGAAATCTTCCAGTTACCTTCACCTACAGGATGTACATAGTGGGTGAAGTGGTGTTAGTATACTAAGAAACCTGTACTATATATACACATAATTATGTATATGGGGGGAGGTAAAAATATTATGGCTGCCAAATTAACATGTTATACATTTAAAAGTAATACTTTAAAAAAAGTAACGCAATTGAAAATTGAATCTATAGGTATTTGTAAATTCCATCAAGATTATATGTAATTTACTCAAAAAAAAAAAAAAAAAAAAAACAGTTGACAGCCTTAATAAATATATTTTATATATATATGCTATAAATTATTATCATAAATCTATATATCTACTTCTAAATCTATGATAATGCTCTAAAGACAAATCACTAATGAACTTTTATTTTTGATTGAATTTACTGTGACTACACAAACACTATGGAGAATTTAGACAAGAGTGAGAAATACTATTGAAACTCAAGGTTAATTTATAAGAACAAGGATGGAGAACAGTAAGAAAAGCTTACGGTTGTTCATAAAGGCAACATATAACTCTGACTCCGTCTGCTCTGTGCCTGGAATCCAGCTGATATTTGCAAAGTTGTGACTAACTGAGGTGCTAATATTCAACACAGCTGAGAAAAGAGAAATGACACAGAGGGTTAGTACTGTAAATGACATGAGGAAGGGTTGCTTGTTAGATGACTTGGAGAAGAAAGAGTGCCTTCTTTATTTTCTTTACATTTGATGTAATATGTGAACTTTGCCAGACATCACTTCAACGAAATTATGCTTACTGGCCTAGCCATAATTTTTTGACTTGTAATGCATTTTCAAGTTGCAATGCACTGCAAAAGAAAAAGTTATTTCAGTAAAGGCCCATTCACACCAAGGATGATAACTATAAAGTTATAGTTTTAAAAATCATTCTAAATTTAAAAGAATACCAGAGTCACCGCAATTATAGCAATAACAGAACAGAGAAAGGATATGTTGGTATTTTTTTTTTTTCCCAGCTGATGAACATTAAAAACATTGACAGCCAATCAGAATCCATCCTGCTTTAAATTACTCAAGCTTTTACAGTGGCAGACAACAGAACTGCAGCACATGCTTATAATAAACAATGATATTGTACATGGGTGTGGATGCTAATATAGTTATCGTTATAGTTTTCTTTATCATTTTAGTTATTGTTCTAGGTGTGAACGGTCCTTAGCACTGTCCTAACCAGGTGTGAAACCAGAGAAAACAATAAAAGCAAATTTTCTATGTAAAGTTTTTTACACATCCTGTTTTTAAGTAGTTAGCCCCGCCCACAAGGAAATGTGATTGGTTTCCACATAACAAAATATTGTGCAGCTTCATGTCAACTTGGAATTATCATAATAATAATAATAATAAAAAATAAAAAAAACATTGAGTTGTTCACATCCTCAGATGAAATAATGTGCTTCAAATGGAAATCCTCATAATAACTAATTAATTAAAGGGGTCATATGATGCGATTTTACAAGCTCTTGGTGCATAAAGAAGATCTGTAAAGTTGCAAAGACTAAAGTCTCAAATCCAAAGAGATATTCTTTATAAAAGTTAAGAGTCAACCACGCCTACCTAAAACGGTTCGTTCTAACACGCCCCCACATGTCTACGTCACAATGTGGGAAGATTTGCATAACGCCGCCCAAATGTTCACGCAAAGAAAGAAGGCTTAAGTTCAACCCAAATATTCAGATGTGTGCAGCGCATTTTATGGAGGACTAGGACTGTTTCCTGGGAGAGTATAGCCTACAATGCTGGTGTCTGTTTCTATAAAGTGGGGCAATTCCAACTTTGCAAGGACAGTCTGGCGCTTCTGACTCACAGCCTGTAAGTAAATTTTCATATTTAAAGAATTTGCCACTGACGATTCAAACGCGAGTTTTGAGCAGTGTAGAATAGCGCTTGATGTTTGTCATTTCTCCGATCACAAATGCAGACATGGTTTTATGTTTACGCAGCGCGATACGCAACGCAACGCATAAAAAGACAGTATAAGTCATTATAATCACCCATTATGTCCCCACTGGATGCAACAAATGCCTCGTTTATAATGGGTTTTAATTTTTTTGTCTCGTCGCTCCGGGAGACGGCATCACAGTACGGTAAGGGGCGTAACATTTCCGTCACATGCTTGAGGTATTCGGCCAATCACAACGCACTGGATAGCTGGCCAATCAGCGTACACCTCGCTTTTCAGACCGATGAGCTTTGTAAAAATGGCCGAGCTTCAGAAAGGCAGGGCATAGAGGAGAAACAATAATGTACATTATGTGGAAAATTATGTGTTTTTTAATACAGATATATTTTAATAAATAAATATATTTTACTAGTATATGACATAACCATTGAAGTAAGAAATGCTGGAGCGCCCAAACTAATGCAAAATAATTACCACTTTGACAAAGGCATTTTTTACTACTTAGGAGCTCATAATTACTGTAATTTTGTCATGTGAACAATAAATGTGTTTTGATTGGCTGGTAGTTTGTTGCATTGCAGAGCATTGTTACTTTCATTGTGGTCAGACTAATTACTTGTCACTGGAAACCCAAGTGTCGCGGCTGGTTAGGACACAGTGTAAAGAAATTAAAGTGATGGGATGTCAAACAAATGGCAGATCTTCAGATGATAGAATGAATAGAAGAGTGTGGGTTAATTTCCATCAGAAACATAGCTGCGAGTCTTCTGTAATTAAATGACCAATTAACGACCTGAAATAATGATGTGCTCATTACACTGGGCGAAATAAGTAGAAATAATACGAGATAATTTTAGACAGAGTCGCAGAGTAGTAATTACGCAGTCACTAAATTCTGAGAGCTGCAGAAACACCTGAATACAGCGTACACTGTTTCTATTCAGGAAGCCAAAAGTATTCGACTTGGACAATTGCTACCTACATGGCGTGCCACCGGAGCTATATCAATCACAGATAACTTGTGTTTTCATCACCCTCAGGTGTAGCAATTAGGCAGACTGTTGTCTGCTGTCAAAACTCATTACCACACATCTCAATTACACAACACCTCTCCCATTGGGCAAAACATGCAAATGGAACACATTTATTCTCAGGCTCTTTTCAGGAATCCATCTGCACTGAAGGACTGCGGCTATCCTCCCCATCGCCCCATGCTTGAATGATATCCTCTAATCGTGATGCGTTTCCATCCACACTGTTATTGTAGAAATTGCGTTAATCATCGGTGCGGTGTGACACCTTTACTTGACATAGAAATGGTGCTATAAATATTGAGCGAGCTAGCTGGAGGTTTGTCAGTCCACATCTGCTGCCACAGTGGGAGGGAGGAAAGCTCGTGCCACACAAGTCCTGCAAGTCTAGTCCCGAAAGCCACTTTTGTGGGAAAATTTAGCAACAGAATTTAAACGGCTTCTTCTTATCCATTTAAAAACCCCTTCTGTGCTTCATCAGCACTATTCCTCAGTCCTCTGATAAGTCCCAACAAATCAGACCTTGACACTTCATCCATAAATACACTACCGTATGGGGTCAGTAAGATTTTCATTAATTTTCTTATTTTAAAAATATCTATTAATACTTTATTAAGCAAGAATGCATTCAATTGTGACAGTAAAGACTTGAATTGTGTTATTTATCCCAAAATTATATCACAGTTTTCAAAAAAATATTAAAAACTGTGACAATAATAGGAAATGTTTCTTGAGCATCACATCAACATATTGGAATGATTTCTGAAGGATCATGTGACACTGAAGACTGGAGTAATGATGCTGAAAATTCAGCTTTGTAGATTACATTTTAATATATTAAAATAGAAAACAGCTGTAATAATATTTCACAGTATTACTGTTTTATTGTATTTTTGATCAAATAAATGCAACTTAGGTGATCATATAAGAGACTTCTTTCAGAAACATTAAAAAACATCTTACCAACCCCAAACTTTTGAATATGTTTCTGTTATTACAAAACTGAATATTTGTAGAGTGTACTAGCATAAAAGCCCAAATTGTTTCTTTTTTTTTTTTTTCAGACTTGTTTTTGTGTGGTTTAGTACCTATGGAAGAAAGAGTAGCATTAGCCACAGGGGAAACAGTGGTTTTTCTTGGAGGAAATAGTGAGCCGGATTTTCCTGAAAAGAAAGACAGTATTTTAAATGGTTTGAACTATTTTAAGGCAGTGATGTGGCTAAGAAAGCGGTAGCCATGTGATGTACTAAATGAGCGGGTGCGAAATGAAATATAAAAATGGTCTGTGTTAGTTGAACCATAGCATTATGCAAGAAATCTTGTGAATGGATTGAATGGGATTAAATGGAATCAATCAATTAGCTTCAGCTACCAACATACAGTAGAGAAGATGACAGGTCAGTAGTGAGATTTATCTAATTTAGCAACCATCTATGGAAGACGTGTACTGTCAGCTAGACTCACACAAGGACAGGGCAAAAATAAATAAATAAATAAATTAATTAATTAAAACAGCATTATGCTGTTATATGAAAAATAATTGAGTACACATGCATTTTCAAGATAGAGTCCTACAATACAATACAGCTACGATTTTATCCTCTAGTCTAGTGTGTTAGCTATTTCTAGTGCAAAGGAAAACAGAAGACTTCATACTGATGTTGAAAGAGGCCACATCTGTTGAAGCTGGCAAAACAAAAGCAATAAAGCAATGAAAAAGACATTGAGAGGACGACAGAAAGACACTGAAATCACGACAACTTTAGTTCATAAGACGGCTTGTTTATAAGACAGCAGTGCCTGTTACCGAAGCATTAAAGCGAGAATGCAATAGCAAGAAGCTTGGAAAATTCCATTCCAAAGTATTTAAAAATACGATGTCATATTTTTAAATGTCACACCAGAAATATGAAACTATTAAAGAATGGGTTTGAAAGGCATATTTTATGTATCAAATGGAAATACCATGGTATGTGATATATATATTAGGGAAAAACTGACAAATTCTTTTAAATGGTATTTGTATGGAAATTAAGGTATTTCAAAGAATGTTTCGTGGCCAAAAATAGAATATTGCCATGGTAACATGTCCAGAAATACATGGAAATACCATGATACTTTTAAACTGCAATTGTAACTGAAATATACAAATGCAAATAGATAAACTGTACACTTAAATGTGTATTTTGGATGTTTTCTTTCCACTAGTCTAAAATAATACATGTTATGGATGCAAACTAGCCCAAAATCTCAAAACTGACCAATGCATGAAAAAAAAATGACTGTAGTATCTTTACTTAAGATAATTTTTTTGGCAGTATTTTTGTTTGATATTGTATATTAGACATATTAATTTACTATGGTATGTACATGGAAGCCAAGCTACTTCAAATAATACAATAGTTTCACCACGTTTCATGGCCAAAAAACATGGTATTGCCATGGTAATGTGCAGAAATATGATATGAAAAATGATACTTTTAAAATAAAACATTATCTATCTTATACTCCAAGTTGCACTTAAATTAAACACTTTTTACTAACTGTATTTGAAATCAGCTAATTTTCTTGATGCATGGTCATGTTTAGGCAGTTGTTTGCCATTGACACATAAAGATATCTCCCCTCACATCAGAGCAGTCATTTGTTTTCTTGACTGTTTTCTATTACTCTGCCGAATACTGGAATTATGCCTTGGGATTTTCATCTCGATCATATTTCTTCCGTAAACACAACTTCCTTATGAACCCTCAGCAAAACGGAAATAAACAGCACTTTATCAACAATCTGCTAACTGCCGATGATAAGTATGGTGGCTTGCACCATTAATCATGATAAATGTGCTGTAAATTCACAGTTGTGTGTTTTTTTCTTTTAATATATTTTTTTGATGTTGATTAACAACTTATTTATATGTCTGTATTAATAGCAATCCAACATTTCCATCCCCAAAGGCAACATATTATTTCTTCTTCCTTTTTGCAGGCAAGCTTTTACCCCCAAATCAATAAGCGCTTGGTCTTCCAAGACAGTGATTAATGCAGCCCAGTTGCACACTGTTATGATATTGTTTAGCTGTAAAGAAATGCTTAGATGGGCATATGAAAAGCTTGGTGAGATGGGAGGTCGAAATAATGTTCCCTGCATTCGCCGGGTCGATGCCCATAACAGCAACTTGGTCATCCATGCCAGAGAGCCAGATTTCCTGTCCTTTGGAATGCCACAGGCTGACTCCCTTGAGACGCCCCCACACCTGAACAGCTGCCACTCGTACTCACTCGCTTCAGGGACAGTGGTGCGCTTCTCGCTGGCAGCTGGTCCGCAGCCCACACGCGTGCAGCACCGTAGGTAAAACTTATATTTGCTCAGTGCTTCCAGATCCTGGAGGTGCAGCTTACTGCTGTCAGCAGAGATGTTGAGGGTCGTCAGAGAACCTAGTTCCTCTGTGTCATTTACTAAACAGGAAAAGGAAACAGAGCATGCTATCAATGCAAGGTATGGTACATTTCTAAACAAATTAATATAGTTCTACACATTAGAATCCCTGGATGATCACACAGAATATAAACAAGAAAGAAAGCTATGCAGCAAAGCGACATGTGTTCATCATGTGTTATGTTTGGTCGCTCAGCTGGACTGGTAGCAGGAAGGCCATGTCATTGAAACGCCAGAAGTGTTTAGTGAGCCAGAGGTCAAAATAATTTTTTTTTTTTTGGACAGTCACAGACACAGACTGACAGTCTGCACTAGGATTGTCACAATACCCAAAATTTGGTAGTGGACAACAATAAGGTTGTCATAATACTATGTCTTATGGTATGATGCAAAAGTATCACAATGTTATTGTGTGGACTACGTCGTGGCTATTTTTTTATTACATAATATATAAATAAATATTTAAACATTAATTGTATTATATTAATTATTTTGATATTTTACAAATAAAATATGAATACGCCACTGAACACACTTCTTTAATTAAGTCAAATATGAATAAATCTATAAAAAAAATGCAAGTTTTTCCAAGTAAGTATTGGTAAACAGTCAGCAATAGGCAACAAAGAAATAAAATAAGGCTAAAC